TTTACGCTTTAAGGCTGTAAAACCCTCACAAACACTATACAATTTTCTAACCACCTGTACTCACAGCTGCTGAAGTGAGAGAGACCAGAGATATCAAACCTGTTGGTGGTAGGTCTGAGTGCTGCAGCAGCTGTCAAAAGCCATACATACAGCTGCAGAGGACACCAAGAGGCAGGAGCAGGACTGAGGGCTACGGGAAGACCAGAGAGAGACAAGGGACCAGAGAGACCAGAGAAATGAGAGAGAGCGAGACCAGAGAGCGAGACCAGAGAGCGAGACCAGAGAGCGAGACCAGAGAGCGAGACCAGAGAGCGAGACCAGAGAGCGAGACCAGAGAGCGAGACCAGAGAGCGAGACCAGAGAGCGAGACCAGAGAGCGAGACCAGAGAGCGAGACCAGAGAGCGAGACCAGAGAGCGAGACCAGAGAGCGAGACCAGAGAGCGAGACCAGAGAGCGAGACCAGAGCGCGAGACCAGAGCGCGAGACCAGGGAGCGAGACCAGGGAGCGAGACCAGAGAGCGAGACCAGAGAGCGAGACCAGAGAGCGAGACCAGAGAGCGAGACCAGAGAGCGAGACCAGAGAGCGAGACCAGAGAGCGAGACCAGAGAGCGAGACCAGAGAGCGAGACCAGAGAGCGAGACCAGAGAGCGAGACCAGAGAGCGAGACCAGAGAGCGAGACCAGAGAGCGAGACCAGAGAGCGAGACCAGAGAGCGAGACCAGAGAGCGAGACCAGAGAGCGAGACCAGAGAGCGAGACCAGAGAGCGAGACCAGAGAGCGAGACCAGAGAGCGAGACCAGAGAGCGAGACCAGAGAGCGAGACCAGAGAGCGAAGCCTCTGAAATAATCACAGCGGTACGAAAAAGCTACAAAGGTTTTCTGATTTTAAATAAAAGGTAACATGTTAAACGAACGGTTACAAGGCGCATGAGAAGCACCCCTCAAAAGATCACGCAAAATTGCACACAAAAAACTCTGAAACAGCGAGCCCACAAAAGGTGAACCGTGTTATACTGAGGGACTACAGTAATTCAACCACTGCTGATTATAGGAAAAAGTAAAAGTCCATAATGATTAAAAGGAAGCCGAAATCCCAGGGAAGGACTTTTGAATTTCCAAAAGACAGAATAGTTTTCCAGAGAGATATGGTTATGAGTACAAGAGCAGACGCAACATCTGCACACACACTCTGCTCCTTACAATGCACCATGTAATCTAGCATTGTTGTGGAAAAACTAATGCCAGTATTTTCCTCAATCACAGGCTCTACATAAATTCCTGGCTAATCTAATTGAGGGTCTCTTGGACACAATTGAGCGGATATAGGAGTTTCTGAAGGAATGCAAGCGGGAATGCAAAGAGGTCTGGAGGTTGAGCTGTCCTAAGTCATATGAAGAAACCATCATTGCTACAGCCTGGGTCTCATCAAAGACCAGTGGACGCACAAGTCAAGAAGCAACTGAACCGAGACGCAGCGCTCTCTGTCTACAGCTCTGGGGGATTCTTAAAGATGAATGTGTTTGAAGATCTCCGAAATGTGTAAGTGAATGGAAACCCACGGACAGAGTTGAATTACACATTTAATATATTGTGGAATTTTTACCCGTCTACAATTATAAACAAACACAATTTTGACTTGTGCTTTGGCCATGATTGTAGACTTGATTATCAAACATGACACAAGTTGCCAGTGGCTTTGCATTAAGACGAGAATAGGGTATCTGCAGAGTTTAGTTTCTTAAAATAATACACGTTGTATGTCCGAAGAAAAAGAAACTCAGCAGTAAAACCAGCCATCTTTTAAATTCTTATAAGAGCCCTGTGAGTTACTATCAAGACACTTAGAGCTGATTGGAGAGTGGGTGGTCCTCTCTTTGTCATGTTTTTGTATGTGAAAACTAGTGACAAAACTATATTGGGAGCGAGGAACTTATTGGATTTGTATTGTACTACAGTTTCACATTTGTGATTTGAAACTTAGGTACCCGATCTTTAAAGGAAGCTTAATGCTTAATTGTTTTGTCCATGATTCAACATTCTTCCCTCATCTGTGTTTTAGCTCAGTCCGCGCTAATATTTGCATGGATCTTTTAGGGAAATCATGTACCCCCACATCTTCTTCAGTAGATGCAGTTTTCAAACGCAAAAAGCTGTAATAGACGCTTAGACTGTGACAATATGGGCAGAACTCAGTCAATCATTTTCATCCCCTTCATTAGTCCATTTGTGGGTGGGGAGAGGCCATCCCAGTTACCACCCAACTCTCGTAGCACCGGCCCGTGACTGATCCTCCTGCAGGTAGTAGGTCCTCAGGAGAATGGCTGCTCCGTCAGCGATGACACAAACTTGGTCTTTCAGCTGGGGCTTCAGGCAAAGTGGGGTTAAGTGTCTTGCCCGGGCACACAACGGCAGACTTCCGTGGTCTAAAGGCTTTATACAGCAAAACTATTTGGGTAATGTCTCCAGTCAAATTAGATTATTTACAACTGGGGATCTTTCATTAGGACGCATCATTAAGTGCACTATAAAAGAATAGAATATCCCACTTTCAACAACCATGAGATGGAAGTGCTTTCTCATCCTGACCATCTCTTATAAAACCTTTAGGCGCCAAAGTTTTGTCAGAAAATGGATCTATAACAGACAAAAGCCCTGAGACTTTATGAGAGATGGAAGACAACTAAAACCACCAGTGTAGAACATGATTTATGTTCTTTTCTCTGGCCCTAGAAGTCCCTGTGCTTTTGCCTGTGTCTATTTTTGTCTTTTTAATTTTTTGTTTTTAATGTCTACTGTGGTGAATGCAAATGTATGTGGTGTAAAGCAAAACGAATTTCAGCTCTGGAAACAATAAAGGAGTATATTATCTGATCTTATTATGATTTAACACAAAATATAACATGTATTCGTTGTGGGAACCCAGGCCACTGCATAGAAAGTGTCCAGGAATCCTAGATTCCGAGTAGCAAATCGGCATACACATTTGTAATATTTCACATTCTAAAACATGAAAAGTCAAAGTAAATATTCTGAAGTTGTGTTTCTTCTTTAAGATTAGGTTTAAAAGTCCCCCTCAGTAACCTTGCTCTGATGTGCATTTGAGCCGTGTTCTGGCAGAGCTTACAGCAGCACAGGTGGAGTGTTCACAAAAACATTCAGAGCGTCCTTTGCAGAGAATACTGATTCTGGCAGCAGACCTGCTCTAAAACGCTGATCACAAGCTTTTTATTTGTGGCCCTCATCAGTCAATGGGAAAGTGCAGCACAGGCTTCCTCTGCATTCAATGTCATTATGTCCTAAAGCTGATTATAAGACTTCAGCGGGACCTCACAAATGGCTGCTTTTAAATATATTTTACTTTACTTGTTGGTATTTTTCAGCCATTTCGGCACAGTCCATAGGTTTTAATGAGAGCATACTAATTTGAGAACCAAAAACAAACTAATGATCCCAAGAGTCAGGACTAAACATGGGCCAGTTATTTTCAAAAAGCAGGATATACATGGATTTGGCTTCCATTGTAAAACTAATGTGAAACTCTTGACACAGTTTTAGATCACCAGCAACAGCTTCTTAGAATTACAGTCTTCAAGGCAATAGATACGTGATATTTGTGAAAATGAATTCATACCGTTCACACGCAAAACCCAAAGCCTTTCTGGAACAATGAGGCATAGTTTGGTTATAGTGACTAAAAACACTGCTTCTCTGTTTGATTATCTTGGAAGTTCCAAGGTCATGAGCAAGAGCAAGTGTGAGGAAGCCCAAACATCTCTGCTTAGGCTTAAAAAGTGATTTTCAATCGTCATTGTCCAAAGTTGAACTGTGTTACTACATGTTACTACAAGCTAATGCTGCTTTATCAATTCAAGAATTCAGTTGCATTTACTTTGACACAATGTACACTTTCTATTTCAGTATCACTGCTTTTACTTGAATAAAAACATTACTATTAACTTACATCTACAAAGAACTATAAAAGTATTATATTTTAGTAAAATAAAGTAAATATTTTAGTTTTAGTTCATTGTTATTAACACAAAACCTGCGTCCAAATATCCTATCAATACTTTTTCAATCATCAGTTGTCAACAACAGGTTGTGTTTGAAGATCCCACAGACACCCTTGATCCTGGATCAGCTGGATGTAACTATCAAACCACAAAAAATGGAACGCTTATAATCAAATATGTCTAACTAGTTCCATGCTCTGAAAACAACTGTTATATCACGCATTGATTTGTTGATTAGATCAATGAATAGAAAGGTCCTAAATAAATACCACCAAAACAAAGCTCAAGTGATGCCCCTGGAGACAATATTCATAGACTTGTTACACATGGGTCATTTGATCAGAAATAATTATTTAGACCAATTTGTATGACATTCTGTAGAAATATCCAATCATAACCAGAGTCATAAAACGTCTTTTCAGCATGTTATGTCTAAGTGAAGTTCAAAATACAACTCCTTGATTACTCAATTAGTAGACAACCATTTCAATAATCAATTATTCGCTAATAAGTCAGTTAACTCGTTACGTCCCTATTTGAAAGAATAACCTTCCAACTTATCGATAACCAAAACGATCATTACTTACAGCCCTGCACTCATCCCTAAAGAGTCAAATAGTGACTCACAGGGGGAAAAAGTGTGTTCTCATGAAGGCAGAATGTTGTGGTCCGGTTTGTTCATAACATTGTACATTTACAAGACTCTTTCTGTCGGGACAAACACAACGTATTATCTATTTACGAAAGAAACAAGTTAAGTACCCCAGCTTTAAGCGAATTGCCGGTAGACACATTGGCAAGGACAGTTTATTTGTTAAGCACAGTTCATACACAAGGCAAATAATTACAATACATTAAAAAGAGTGAAGACACAATCCTTCAGTGGTATGCACAGCTGAACAGAACTGTTTTAAACCTGGATTTATTTCAACCCATTGCGATACCTTAGTGCGCATTCGTGAATCACTACAACATTTCTTCTTACCTAGAAGCTTCTTGACCTCCTCCACGCTCATATAAATGTTCACCCGGGGCTGGTTGATGTTGTTTACCCCTGTAGGACTGCTGGGACTCGCCAGACAGCCGCATCCCTCCAGCAGCAGCAGGAGCAGACACACTCGCCCCTGCCGACAGAGCACCCACAGCGGACAGCCATGGGACACAGAGCCCGACATGGCACCGCTCCTCCCGGGTAGCCTCCTCCGAGCGGGTCGCTTAATCCTACCCGTATCGGAAGTTTGTCCCACGAAGCAACATAACTACTTAGCTCGTCTCCCGTGGTTTTAATTCACAATATGTGCCACAACGCGCTGTTTCTCCCCCTTGTTTTTTTTTTTTCGCTTTAGCAGACGCAGGCTAAGTTCGCTAGCATCAATAGGCTAACTTTCCTTTTGCTAAGTTTCACTCCCAGCCTCTCACGCGGACGACTTGGGATCTCCGCGAGCGTCCGGTGCGCGTGCAAGCTGGTGTCTTAAGCTAAAACGTGTCACGAAAAGAGCGTGAAAAGTCGCGAATACATCCAGATTTCTTCCTCCATGGTCCCGTCGGTCTGTGGTCTGTCCCCGTTGGTTTTTCTCACTATCTCAGTTTTCAGGGAGAGAGGTGGGGGCAGCAGTCAGGGCTCACTCCCCCTTCTTCACCGCTAGAGGAGGGAATGTACACAAAGGCAGAAATAAAGTGATTTTAGTTATACTTTTATTCAGCAAAAACATGTGCATATGTTTTTATTACAGATTTTACACGTTCATCTTAAATAATTATTTATTTATTTATCTTTGTATGGATGGCTGTGAGCTACCTATCTATCTCTCTGTCTATCTATCTACCTATCTATCTGTTTATCTATCTACTTACCTTCATCTCTCATTATTTATCTATCTATCATAAGGCTTGATGTGGCACCATCTTTATATGATAGCCACTACCGGCAGACTTCTGACGCTAAGCAGGACAAGGCCAGGTTAGTACTGTAATGGGAGACCTCTGGGAACACCAGGTGGCACGGCAGTGGGTGTAAAGGGCCAAATTGACATTGTATCCTTCGGCAAGACACTTCACCCGCATTGGAATCTGGTGTGTGTGTGAATGGTTGTTGGTGGTGGTTTGGGGGGGCTGATGGCACATACTGGTGGCCTCGCTTCCTTGTGTGCACCAGGGCAGCTGTGGCTACACTAGTAGTTTATCACCACTGTGTGTGAAGTGAATGAATAATGACATGAAAGGCATCTTTGAGTGTCCAAAATGCGCTATATAAAATCAGTGCATCATCTAATATTATTTGGTATTCGCATGTTTTAATTTGCTCCAATAAGTTAAACATTTAACTACACAACTTTTCTGATGGAGGGTCCACGTTTAGCTTGGGTTAATACAGTTCTGTTTAGCATACAACTGAAGGATTGTATCGTCACTCTATTTAATGTACTGTTATAATTTATGTGATTACTTGAATGACTTGTGTGATATGTTTATTTTGAGCCTTGTGTATGAACTGATCTATACAAATAAACTTTCCTTACCTGACTGACAGAAGGTATGAAGTGTGACATTCCGTGTGTCAATAAAGCACAAGCAGCAACTTTACAAAATGCCAAATATATTCTTAATAAAATACAGGATTGGACAAGTTAAAATTTGACATGTTGAAATCTTAAGAGAAGGAGAAATTGTTGTTAAACCTATGAATATGTGTTTGGAGGGGCCTTGATTTTGAATGTGGTTGGTTTCGTATGCTTGGTGGTCCCTGGGGTCACGCCGGTCAGCGCTCTTCCATCAAATGCCACAAGTGAAATGCAAGGTTGTGGCCTGCTGCCCTACCCTGTTTAAATCTGGGACCTTTCCTACAATGAAGGATACAAACGTTTACGAGAATACTTTGGTCTTAATTCCAGAGAGTGTGTTGTTTTAGTTAGATTTCTGAAATACTAGTTGTTCTTGATGTGTATGCATTAACTCCCTGTTGTTGAGGGCCAATTAAATTAAATCAATTCAAATCAATATTGTTTCGTGCAGCAGTCTACATTGAAGTCTGTATAAAATGCTGATTGACTGGGAGAAGCCTCAGTCCTTGTTGTTCAGCCTGAGTCCTGGATCTACTGTCTGTCTATCCGTGAGAGTGGATCCTTCACCCTATGTAGGCTTCTGAGGTTTTTCTCCTTTTTCACACTGGGTTTTTGAGTTGTTCCTCTCCCTCTGGACCAATGCATTATTATTTAATTTCCTGTGTTCAAACTGTTTGATTCTCTGATCCTTTGTTAGTGAATTGACAACTTTGTAAATTGCTGCTGTGATTTAGGGTTGTACACAAATCAATTGGATTTAATAGATTTTTGTTGTTGGCAAATATGAAACGTCATTGGTTAAAAGACAAAAAGATGAACCCATTTTCACTTGAATTATGAGTGGATATAGGTACAGTTCCCAGAGCATTCCCCTGTTTTCTCAGTATGTACAGAAATCTAATCTCAAAAGTCAAAAAAGAAAACCCTTGATCAGAACCACACTGACTCTCAATGCTACAGGTTAAAACAGGCAATTTCTACCCAACATTAAAAAGACTGATACAACATTTTATAGTTTTTATTATTAAAATAGTCACCTACAAAACAGTCTATTAACACTATGTACAGAACAGACACAAAGAGATTTTTTCAACACAAGGCACCACTATGAATTATTGTCAACACAACCGGATTCCAAATAAGTTTTCTTTTGAGAATACAGCGGTGGGGCACACTTCCCTGAGGGACAAAACTGCTTGTGTCAGCGCGGACATGGGCATGAGGTAATACGGTCTATTTGCTATTCGGGAGTTTGGAATCGTCGGTTGATCTATCAGGAAGAATGATCTATGTGAACTTGAAGGGTTAAATGCATTTGTCTGTTATAAGGACCTTACAGTGGGGTCAACAGCACAATGTTGTCCATTATCGGCCACTTCAAGTAAAAGTTGATAAACAACACGATTGAAGATGGGAGGCTTTCACATGACAGTGACGTCCGACTCTGAGTGCTCTGAAAGAAAGAACACAAGATTACATTAAAAAAGATACCTAATTGAAAAAAACCCCAAAAATGTAGAGAAAGATGAGAAAGAGAGACAAGATATAGATGAGAGATAGATAGAGAAAGAGAGAGAGTTAAAAACATTAGAATAATATTGAAAACATAATCGTTAAAGCTGGGGTACCTAATTGTAAAAACCACAAATGTAACTATGATGAAAATCTATAATGGGACATTTATGGACAATAATTAACCTTTTTTCTCCTATTGGTTTTTTAAATAATTGCATTTCCTGTGTTTGAAATCGACAACTCCTCCGAGACGACGGCTGTTATAATTTAGGGCTATACCAAAACCTATTGAATTGAATGGAATAACTAGTTTTTGCATGCATGTACTTTCTAGCCTCTGTCACATCTCTGGATCAGCGTTTTTGGGCAGAAAAGCAGAATAAGAATAGACCATAAGAATGTCCAGCAAATTGGCTCTCAGCCCAAAGTCTCACATAGTTACTAACAATAAAAACTGTTTTCTCATAAGTCTGTTTTGGTCTGACTTACAAAAATTTACTTTTATGCAACACAATTTGTTGGGACAAAACAGTGTATTATTATTATTATTTATTAAACAAAACAAGTTTGAGATCATTCTAATACACACCTTTATTGTTGCCTGTTTGTTCCTCTGTCTGTAAAAAATAAAGTTGTATTAATACATTTGCACGTATAACATGAAAAAACCAGATTGAAACAGTCTCTCACGCTGACTTTTCTTTGGTAATGACGGTTCGCAGATTTCTCTATAGCACACATCCTGCTGGACTTTATACGTTCGCTTGTATCTGCAAAGAACATTAAAAACCATTATTCCAAACTCCACACGTGTATTTTAGATCATCTCCAAGGCCACAGGAAGAGCCCAGTCTCTGATGCAACTCACAGGTAATGGCAGACTCCTCCCTCCCAAACCGGAACACTTTTGGTTTCTGAATACAGCCGAGTGCAAGGGTGAGGGACTCTGTGACACACTGCACACGGAGAAAGTGGGAGAGAAAACACAAGTTATTTGTCGCTAAGTGGGAGACGTCTGTTGGATGGTTTAGGGGTCTTTGGGGATCTGCTGTGGGGTGGACTGGCTGAGTGATCCTGGCTCGCTGATGGATAGTTTTAGGAAAGGAATGTTTAAACAATCTGATGTTTAGGTGAAAAAATACATATGAAGGAAGAGCCTTAAAGCTGGAAGTACTGGCTTTGAAACCAGAACTAAATATGTAATTGAAATCTATTCCTTGTAACTTGTTCTTTGTTCTCAAAAACAGTTTGGTGCTATAACTAGTTTTTACATTTGAGCTATGTTACTTCTTTAGATCAGCCTCTTCTCATTGGAAAAGAGAAGGCAATGCTCCCTAAACCAATCAGCTCTCAGTATGTAAAAGAGAGACATGATATGATCTTAAATATTCAGTATTTGTAGAAACACATCGGGCACACAGGGGTTATTATCCAGAATGCTTGGCTTGTGTGGAATAGGCTGAATAAAAGGTGTTTAATAACTGAACATGGAAATAGAAGTAAAAGTATAAAACACCAAATTATGTTTTCTCTATATCAAAGGGAGAGAGATAGAAAGAGAAAGATTTAAAGAGAGATAGAAAGAGAAAGATTTAAAGAGAGATAGAGGGATAGAGGTAGCTAGAGAGAGAGAGGGACGGAGAGCAAGAGATAGAGAGTCACATACATAAAAAAAAAAAACTTGATATTTCTCACTTTGCCTCTAATGAGTTTGTCATATATTAGTTTCACTAGTTTGTAAGTTGAATTGCAGAAGTAAAATGGACTTTTGACTAAAATTATAATTTTCAGAGTTTCACCTGTACATTGAATTAACCCAATAACACCAGGAAATCACCAGGAACCCCAAACATGACTTGTGTTTGTTCTTTAAAGTTTCCAGGACAAATATGAAAATTTACTGGAAATGTGTCTCAATATTTCTATGTGAGGCCACCCATGAGACGAGACGGACAAAATTGTTAACATCGGACATTTCCTCATAATAACTTCTGGAATAAAGTCAATCTTGTACAAGTTCCAGGTTGTAGGTGAATCATCCTCACAGATAAAACATAGAGTTGATACATTTTCCAGGCAAGGCACACTTCACCACATGTTCTAAACATGTTCTACACATGTCCTACACCAGCCCGATAGAGACCGCCAAGCAGCCTTTTGTACCACGACAAGTCAAAGAAAAACAGAGCTTATAATGTAACTGGGGCCCTCTCTATGGGAGTGTAGGGAAAATAATATGTTTCTTTGTGCCCCTTTCAACAGCAGTGTGCATTCATGTTGTACATTCGTGGCCTGCAGCCGTTAAGTTAACCAGGCTATTCATAAATGTCATTGGAGCGAGTTTCCTGCTTTTAAGAGAGAGAGAGAGCGGGAGGCGTGGCTTCTTCACTGCTGACCCACAGAACTGCCAATGGACAAAGTTCAACTGAAATAAATATATTAAATGATTATACAGCAACATTTGATCTATACTATAATCCAGGAAGTAGGTTTTTTATCTTTAATTCAAGCAGGATCTGTCAATGAGACAGACAGAAGCAGAAGTAGTGAGAATTTGCCTTTCTCTTAAAAAAACAATATATTTTTTATTGCTATGTTTCATGATCTCGTTTAAAGACAAACTTGGGTAAAATGAAGATAAAATGCAATCTAATTCAAGCAATGATTTAATAATAATTTGGAGTTTATCTGGTGACGATGCAGGTCTAAGGACATTATTGACATTTAGGGACATTGGTCATCCCTATGGACCATTGGCTCCTATGGTTTTCTTATTATTGTATTCCCTGAGTCTGAACTGCTTGATTTTCTGATCTGCTGTTGGTGAATTGACAACTTTGTAAAGTCCTCCGAAACGCCTGCTGTTGTGATTTAGGGCTATACAAAAATAAATGGAATTGAATATGAAACGTATTACAAGTATTATAGAAACAATTCAGGTAAATCAACTATATATATACGTAGGTTTTATAATTTAGTGATTTTTTGAAAGTTAAAGTAATGTCTGTTGTACTACTTTACTGTGTCTCTGTGGGATTATGGATGCAACATTTTACCTGTATTTGAAATGCTAACCAGGCCATTTTATAGGATATTTATTAAGGAAGTCAAAATGAGCTCACATTAAAATACATTTTGCCAAATTTTTGATCACTTTTTGCAGTGGGTTATGTATTAGTCTTCCCCTTAATCCATTTCTGGGTCGGGGGGGTTGCAGTCAGAGCTGCACCCAGTACACAGAGCACCGGCCCCTCACTGATCCTCCTGCAGGTGGTGAGTCCACAGGAGCTGAGATCTTTCAGCTGGGGCTTCAGGCAAAGTGGAGTTAGGTGTCTGGCCCGAGGACACAACGACAGCAGTCATCAGTGGGAGCCATGAAGTAGGTCTCATGGTGGGCTCGAACCCAACTACCAACTGAGCTACTGTCGCACCGGTTTTAAAAGGTATTCCCCCATATTTCCACACAATGAATAAATAACCGTATGGACTCACAAAGCTCGCACTGCCTGCCCTTGAAGCCCGTGGCGCAGTCGCAGATGCAGCCTTCTTCCCCTGAGCTCGCACACGTTCCCCCGTTCAGGCAGGGCAGGCGGCGACAGTCCTGGGGCAGCTCCGAAACAACAGCTGCAATCACCATTCACAGAGAACACAGGCTCCGGTTACAAAGACTTTACATTGTTTTCAATCTTGACAGTTACTTTGGCTTCAAGGATAACGCGTGACTTTTGTGTTGTGTGGTTGACTTTACATTGCACAACTCAAAACCCTCAGGAGTGGCTTCTTCATCGTGTTACAGTTGGAGATTTTAGACTTCTTTCCTTATTATGTTAAATATAGAGATTTATACCGCTTATTTTTATGCTAGAGTTAGAGTCTTTGTGGATACGGTAGTTCTCTGATGGCAGCACTCACCGGTCTCCTCCTGGATCTGCAGGGCCAGGCTGATTTTGTTTGTCGTCTCCTCCATCTTCTCTAATCGAATCGGAGGATCAGGTTCTGCACACGAGACACAGAAAAAGGTCAAAATCAAACACAGACGAACAAGAAATCAAAGACCTTGTGATATTAACTTACAACATAATCGAGTAAATCAAGTAAATCTAATTAATAATATATAATAATAATAAGTCAGAAATGTCTTACAAGTAAAGAGCGAGAGAGTCCAAACTTGGGTGTTTATCATAGACTGTGTATAGATGGACAATGCTAACCTGCTAGCTTCATGAAGCCCAATGGGGAAATGCTCATGAATGAAGTTTTGCTCCAACTGGCTCCTATTGACTTACATTGGAAAGTAAATTGCTCTAGCTCAGTAAGCTCAAAACTCAACATTTTGAGCTAAAAAAAAAATCCAGCTAGTCTAGTCTATATCACACCGAGCCACTGGCCACTTGAGGCTTTATCACTCATTTCTTTTTCAAAAATACAAAAAAATGCTATGTTGTATGGTTATAGTAAAAACACACAAAAATACACATACAAGTGTCTTCTTTTTTTATTTTTTTGAGTACTGGGTGCATCTCAGACCGGCAACCCCCTGACCCAGAAATGAATTAAGGGGAAGAAAATGGATGGATACTGTGATTCTGTGTTTGAATGCTTGTACAATTTCTTGTTTAGGTAAGTACTTTGAGTTGCATAAACTTGCCTAACCTTGCCTTATAAATAGCTGCACGTGCAAAACACAGATTTCATTATGGGACAAGTTGTTGTTATTGAGGTAAAGACCAAAGATAAGGTGGTATACTAAGGTAAATGATGCTGGTCCAATGAGAGCACACGCCTAAACAGTAAAATACAAAGCATGTGTTTGTTGAGTATCATGTTTCATATTACTCTGTGGTTTTACTAAATACTTGGCCTGAAGAATTCCATCTGCAACTTGACATGACAAAGAAAGTCATGTTTAGAACAAGGCAAAACAGTTGTGTTTGGAAAAAACTGTGCTGAGAAATGGAGGAGGAATGGAGGAATCAAGGGGGAGAAATACTGTCTGGGGGAAATGGATGAATTAAAGAAGTTTTTCTTGTTTACAATTCTTTCAATCAATACAAAGGTGCACAGGGAGCCAGTGAAGAGAACAAAGAATAGGGAGGGTGTGGTCAAAATTGCTCGTGCCAGTAAGAATCTGGCAGCAGCATTTTGAAGACATGAAAGGGAGGTTTTGAGTCCGGTATAGAGGGAATTGCAATAATCTAAACAAGAGGTAATAAACGCATGGATTACAATTTCAAAGTACGATTTGACTTTCACATTTCACCTCAGCTGAAAAAAGATGGTCTTCACATCAGCACTGATTTGGGACTCATGTTTAATATCAGTTAAATGACTTGATTTAGCTGCTTTAACAGTGTTTTGATAAGAGCGCCAACTAGCTTGCATTATCAACCATAGTCTCTCTGCTTTTCTGCTTTCACGTCGGGTAGCACGCGTCACTTCATTCAGCCAAGGCTCAAATTAACGTCTTGAAGGCTTTTTTAATTCGCAAAGATATGCACAAAGAAATCCAATGTATTTGAAATCTGTGACAATGAGAAAATGAATGACTTAAAATTCTTAAAATGGCACTTACTTGATCGATGTCGGATTGCTTTTCTGGGCAAATGAGTTAATCTCGTTGTTATTTTTCCCCTTCTGTCAATGAGCTCTGTGTATCTGTGGAATGATAGAGAAGTGATTAGCATTAGCAGTGGATAAACATCATATGTTTTGTATTGTGGGGGGTTTTAAGTATTACCTGGGCAGTTCTTGTGAGTTTTCTGTCATTCTTCTCACTCCCAGGTCCTGAGTGTACGATGGAGGAGCTGTTTGTACTTGGTGTGCACCCAAAACTCGTAGTCTTTCTTCTCTTCTTCTGCTGGATCTGTTTTGCATTGGTACTAGTGAAAAAAGCAGATAAATACATTAAGTGAACAGCAATGGCAGAAAGACCTAACAACATTACTGATATTTCCAGTATTGCGTATGTGCATTCCTAACTGTAACATTGTCAAAATGGATTCCTTGATTGCATGTTCTCCCTGTGTCTCTGTAGGTTTCCTCTGGGTGCTCCAGTTTCCTCTACCACTAAAAACATGTATCTTAACTCTGAAATCCTTGTGAGAATTTCCTGGTTAAATGAAGGTCAATAATAAAAATATGATGTTTGTTGCCACATTGTATACATGTAGCTCCATAAGTTGCGATCCACCAGCTGGGGTTTATGCAGAGATAAAACCAGGTGGAGAAACCGGCAATCCAAATCTGAGAATATGCCATGTTTGCCTTCTGACATGTGTTAGTCTGTAGAAATCAAATGGAATAAAAAAAATAATTCTTGCTTCTTTTAAATGTTATGTACCTTGGGGACATAACATTTATCTGGGTGGCCAAAGCTTTCAAAAGTCTGACATTTCAGGTTAGCAAACCGACAGCAGCCCTCTCTCAAAAAGGTAGTTTGTCTGAATTGGGATGCGGCCTCGTATGCTTAAATGTGGTGGATAGGTATATGACCTCGTACAGTTACATGTTGTGAATTGGGAGGCAATCTGATACACTTACTTACTGTACATGTAGGGATTTTTGGATGCGACCTTGCACACTTACATGTAGTGATTTGGGATGCAACATTGTGCACTCGCATGTTGTGAGCTGGGATGCGACTTCATATACTTACAAATAGTGAATTGGGATGCAACCTCTACACTTACATGTAGTCAATTGGGATACGACCTTGCACACTTACATGTATTCAATTGGGATGAGACCTTGCACACTTACATGTTGTGAATTGGGATGCGACCTTGCACACTTACATGTTGTGAATTGGGATGTGACCTTGCACACTTACATGTTGTAAATTGGGATGCAACCTTGCACACTTACATGTAGTGAATTGGGATGCAACCTTGCACACTTACATGTAGTGAATAGCAGGTGCTGGGCTGCACTGTGCACCTGCTCCTGTCCTGTGTTCTTGACTGCAGTGAGCGAAACCTGGTACTGCTGTCCTGGAGTCAGCTCTCTCATTGTGTATGACTGTAACTTCCCGTTGGGCAGAAAGCGGCTCCTCGTGTTCAGGCCTCGCGTCACGTTCACCACAAAACCGTCTGGGAGCATCTTGGAGGGGCGTGTCCAGGAGATGAGGGCTGAAGAGGAGCTCACATGGGACAGGGACAGGTTCAGAGGAGGGAGAGGTCCTGGGAAGAGCCACAAGACAAAGAATACATGATACAACAATAGAAACAAGTCAACTGAAATGACTGAAATTGTTGTAGATCATAAAGCTAGGGTACTTACCTTCCAAACCACATAAATTGAACTAAGTAATAAAATCGCAAAAATGTTGGACAGTTATGTGTCTAACAAGAAGGACTGTGGTGGTGATCCAGGACACTTTAACATTCTACAACATGTTTGGACATTTATCAACATTCATGGTCATTGGTCTCTCACTGTGGAACACTTTTTGTGTAGTGTATTTTTTGTGTCTTCGCTGTTGAGACTCTGAGATGACTGCTGTTGTGATTTAGGGCTATACAAGATTAAATTGTATTGCATTGTATTGTATTGTATCCCCAAAATGAGTTCATGTTGTTATCAAAATACTGCTTTTACTATTTTTGTAACCTGCCTCACCCAGAGCTTAGCTGGATTCATGCCTTTCATCCGAAAACCGTAAACATGTCAAGGAAATTCCTTTCATTATCGATAACCCGGATGCCTGTGTTCCAGCCGTCATGAAAAGGAAGAACAGTGAGGAAATGAACCTCCAGGCTTCATTTATCAGCTCTTTTAGCATAGGGATATTATTTAACAAAAAAGTCAAGTTTAGCTTTAGTAATTTTACTCAAAAGTTGGAAGAGAATAGACCATCTATGGCAGAAAACAATGATTATGAAGTGTACTTCAAAGAAGGACATACTACAGATGTGTGTGAAATATTAGAAACACATTCAATACATTACATATTTATTGTGAGAAACTTATTTTCTGATTATAGGTTTTATATGCATTGTTTTGTACTTCCCAGGGATTGCAGATGGAAAGTAGCAATAACTGATTCTGGTGAAAATCTTCCTTTGTTTGTAAGACACACATGTATTTGCATATGGTCCCTGAGTAATAATCAATAATAATCTGAACTACAAAAGGAGAAACTCTGCTGCCCAGTCAGTTCTGCAATTTTGGATTCAATTGTAATATTTATTATAATTGATCTACTACAAACATTATTCATATTATTATTGTTGACCTCAACATTAGTAGCAATAAAGACAAGGAAGGAAGTATTTTTAAGCAATTTTTGGATGCAGCCATGACCTGTCAATTTTACCATTTCACCACCTTTAATTGAAAACTGCTGGATGTAAGTGTTTCCAAACATTTTACAGTTTATATCCAACATTTCAATAGCATCACATTCACGAATAATTTGTTTATTCAAAGGTGTAGGATCTTACGTGTCCAGAAGGTCAGTGGTTCGGCTGAGTGGCTGATGGAGGGGAACTCATCAGGCCTGACGCCACTCTGAGTCAAAACTTCCACTGTGTATTTGTGTCCAGGAAGTAACGACCTGGAAAGACCGATTAGAGACAAGATTCAGTGAAGAAATATAGAAGTTCATCTAGTGGTATATTCTGTCATCCAGTGGTGAAAAGCGTGTACTGCATTGTTTAAGATTAAGATTAAGAGAGCCTTTATTTATCCCACAGTGGGGACATTTCAGTGTTGCAAGTTATAGAACAATAGGAACAAGGAGCACACAGCACAAGATAAGTGAACAATATCTATACTAATTAAAATCAAACTAAATATCTAACTCTAGCATCAAATAACAAGTATAAAATCTCTATCTTGAACATAATAACAATAAAGAAGTATAAAAATGTTACATTTGGCAAGTATAAAGTACGGTGTATTCTGGTACAAGCAATATGTACCTGTAGTTATGTTAGTAGCAGTATGTTTTTATCTGTACATTATCAGTAGTATGTTTAAATCTGTACATTAGCAGCAGTATGTTTACATCTGTACATGTTAGCAGCAGTATGTTTACATCTGTACATAAGCGTCTGGTCTCTCTCTGTGCCTCACCGGAAGCTGTGCTCAGTGACACTGGTGTTCACAGCAGCAGACAGAGGCTCAGAGCCGTTGGATGCAGACACAGAGACCAGGACAAGGCTCACGGACGCAGGAGCCTCCCACTGCAGCACCACGGAGGAGGACGACACACTAGTCACAGAGAGCTGCTCCACTCGCTGAGGTCCTGGAGCAGACAGGAGCAGAGGACCAGGTAAGCAGGGACTAGAGCAAAAACCAGGAGGTGACTGAAAGACTTTGTATTTATTACACTCTATTTCAGACTCAAATTCAAATAGTCCATATTTAAAATGAAGAAAGAAATAGAAAAATAGAAAAAAAACAATACAAAATATAAAGTCCAAGCTGTACAGGTGATGGTAGAGTGTCTACACCAGGGTTCCCCAACTAAATTGTCTAGTGTTCCACTAACATGATCAGCTCAGTAGACTAGGGTACGGACATCATACAACCTGATAAAAACATGTTTTGTGATGTGGTTGAATGATAACAGTTGGTTGATGGTGATAGTTGCCATAATGATGGTTGCCAGGGTAACAATTGCCATAGTGATTGCAATAGCAAAGGTTGCCAAACTTGCCATGGTGACCATTGCCACAGTAATCATCACTATGTAAATTGTTGCTATGGAAATCACTATTACAGTTGCCATAGTTATTGCCACCTGACTATTGCAATGGCAATGGTTGCCATAGTCAATGCCATAGCAACAGTTGCCATAGTAATGGTCACTAGGGTAACTGTTGCCATAAAGATTGCCATAGCAACAGTTGCCATGGTTACTATAATCACGACAACCATCACTGGCAATCACTATGGCAACTACCCTGGCAACCATCATTATGGCAACTGGAAACAAACTCCCAAAACGAAGTTGCAAGAAATTTGCATTAAAACAAGATTCACCAGATTGATCTTCCACTGTCATGGTAACATTTGCAATGGCGATTGTTCCCCTAATGATGGTTGCCATGGAAACAGTTATCAAGTGATGATTTCCAATGGTAACAAATGCCATAGTGATTGCCATTGTGACAGTTGCCATGGCAACCATCTCTATGACAAATGTTACCATGGCAACGGTTACCATTACAGTTGCCATGCTAACTGTTGTCATCAAGAATCAAGACTTTGGACACTCACTGGTTCGTATGAGTGCGGTGGCGGGCCGGCTGTAGTCGCTGTTGTTGAGGTTGTGCTTGAGGGAGATGGTACTGATGTTGTAGAGGAGGCCGGGCAGCAGACCCCTCATCACGTGCGTGTTCTGCCTCCGGTCCAGCAGGTCTGTTCGTCGGTTGCCACGTCCCAGTGGAGCGTACTTCACCGCAAAGCCACTAACCAGGCTGTTTAGGGGCTCTGGAGGGTCCCAGCGCAGCTCCACCTCACTCTCCTCCACACGCAGCACACGCAAGCCAGATGGAGGCAGCAGGTCTGGGGAAGCAGGGCACACCACTTACACCAATCAGCAAAATTTGATGTATAGCACAATTCCTCCATTAGTTAGGAAAAGATCCAAGATTCCTTTAAGGACATGGCAACCCGTTTTGACGCCTCTTGGATCTTGGATAAAAGTAAAAAGAAAAACAACAGAATGCAGACCACAAACAAGCTACAGAGCATTCATATTTATATGACATGTAGATCAACATAAGGTTTAAACTGTGAGTAGTAGATTTACAATATTACATAGGACCCATTTTTCAGTATTTATTACATTTGTCTCTGGAAAGTCTCAATGAAAAAGTCAGTCTTTCCAAACCATAAATCTCTTTGATTGTTTGGGTCCAGTCTGTGAGAACAGGGGCATCTTCACATAACCATTTGTGTGTTATGTGCCTTCTTAAGATCTTCACACATCTTGACACTAGAACTCCCAGCAACATCAAACGTATACTAGAACTCCCAGAGCCATCATTTTGACTAACCTCATTCAAACCAATAAAATTCTGAGAAATTTCCCAAAAAAAATTTAGGTTTTTTGCCAGATTCATTTAAGTGATTTATATACAGCTAAAACGTGTTAATGTAACTTGAAATAACTTGAAGTAGTTTGTTGAAAGGATAATGCTACCAAATGCTAACTGTTGACAATCAACAGTGTGTTGCTATGGTAATCAGCACTCTTCTCTGTTAGAAAACTAAGCAAAACCAGAACCGGTCCAAAACCATTTCAGGATCAGCAGCTTGAAAAAAGGGTTTGAGCTGACATAAAGAAAGCAACCAAATATGGCTACATTTGAATTTTCACTCCTCAAATTTAAACAACAAAAGACAATTCCATAAAAATAGTGACATAGAGATAAACTTCATAGAAACAGAAAAATCCACAAAGTTATGAAGGAAACAATCGCTGTGCAATTACACTTCCAAAACTAAAAGCTCTCCTGAAGTTCTCCGGGTTCTATCAGGATTGTAATGACTTTCTCACATTACTCACAAGTAAATAATGAAGATCAAATAACTAAAATAAGACACAAAGCCACTCAGAAGCTCAGATTCATTGAAAATAATCACAAATGTATGAAAACAAAAAGCGCTGAATTATTTGCCCTGAGGCTATCTCACTAAATTATTGTTTTATGGTCAGCTGAGACGGACATGGACCCAGCTGTGTACACTGACCGACCTTTCTCACAGTCCTTCCCCGTGTGCCCCACGTTGCACACGCAGTTGTAGTTGCCTTTCTTGTCGCTGGTGCAGAGACCGCGGTTTCCACAGGGGTTCAGCACACAGGGGTCCTCCACTAGAGGGCGACAAACACATGCAATATGTCTATGACTCTTTCGGAGTCAAATACACAATGAACCCAATGACAGGGGCTAACGATTAATCGATGTATTCTCAATCCTTTTAAACTATGTATCTACACGTAAACTTCAAATACAGATTTGTGTGAGAAACTATTTTACGACTCAAAAAGAGTGAGAATAGTTTGCGTTCATGATACATTCTAACATTGCAATGGTCTCTCTCTGGTCTCTGTCTCTCTAGTCTCTCTTTCTCTGATCTCTGATCTCTAGTCTCTAGCCTTGCCTTGCCTAGGCAAAGAGGTACAAGTTATTTCTATGTTATATTGATGAAGGTAAAAAAATTAAATAAAAATTGGGCAAAATTAATAAATAAAATATCAACTATGGTCTAATACTAAATGGTCTCACAGAGTGTCTTGAAGTGACAATATTCAAAAAACATTTGCATGTTGTTGACCCGTAGAAAAGACTTTGAGAAATAAGAATGATATGACGGGCTTTGTGAATCATCCATCCATCCATCCATTTTCTTCCCCTTAATCCATTTCTGGGTCGGGGGGGTGGCCAGAGATGCCACCCATTACACAGAGCACCAGCCCCTCACTGATCCTCCTGCAGGTGGTGAGTCCACAGGAGCTGAGATCTTTCAGTGGGAGCTTCAGGCAAAGTGGGGTTAAGTGTCTTGCCCAAGGACACAACGACAGCAGTCATCAGTGGGAGTCGTGAAGTAGGTCTTACGGTGGGCTCGAACCCACGACCTTCAGGCTCAAAGGCCAATGCTCTACCAACTGAGCTACTGTTGCCCCCTTTGTGAATCAATTACTCTCAAATAATCTAGGAAAACATTTGGACATTTAATTCCTCTTATTTCCATTGAATTAAGCAGGAATCTGTACATTTCTCAAAAAGTGAGCCTCTTACACATTTGGCACTGGTCTCCAAAGAATCCTTCCTTGCACAAACACAAATAGTTTTGTCTGTAGCTTCGACACACTCCTCCGTTTAAGCAGGGGCTGGAGTCACAAACATCCTGCTCTGCACAAACACAAACAGGACACATCTGTTATCTTTTACATCTACACACAAATATAAGGACAGTGGTGATGATCCAGGACATTTGACATTCAACAATATTTATCTATTAAGTCACATTTATGGACATTGGTCATCTGTCCCTTATGGACCAATGGCTCTGTGTTTTTATCATTGCATTTCCTGTATTTTAACGGTTTGATTCTCTGATCTATGTTGGCGAATCAACAGCTTTGTAATGTCCTCCGAGATACTGTAACTGCTATAGTGATTTAGTGCTATACAAAAATACATTTAATTGAATTGAATCCCACTGAAAACAACAAACTATTACTAAGTTATTATTACTCAATGATAAATAACTAAATTCAGTTTTTATTTCTTTCCCACGCTCTGGTTTCCATCACTCTGGCCTCTCTCTCTGGTCTCTCTCTAGTCTCTCTCTCTGGTCTCTCTCTCTGGTCTCTCTCTCTGGTCTCTCTCTCTGGTCTCTCTCTCTGGTCTCTCTCTCTGGTCTCTCTCTCTGGTCTCTCTCTCTGGTCTCTCTCTCTGGTCTTCCACTCCATTTTGAGCTGACAAATTGTAAATAGAAATACATTTGTAAATACATTGAAATTGTACATACAAACACATGGTGAAACTATGGCAAATACTGTAGCTAGATTGTATATTTTTATGTGTGTGTCTATAAAAACTTACAGTATGTGTGTGTATTTACTGTAAGAGCAGTAGACAATATAACAATGTAAAAAAGTATCTCTATAAACAAAGGAATGTAAATAAATCAAATATGTTCACATTATAGGACTGTACCTTCTTCGCAGTGCATTCCTTTAAATCCTTGAGGACAGTGACACAAATAGGAGCCAGAGTCATTCTCACAAGTGCCTCCATTCTTGCAGGTTTTCGGTGAGCACTGGACTACAGCTACAGACACATTCAGTCATCAATATTTATTTATGGTACATGATAACATTCAGAGCTGCACTTTTATGCATTTTACCTGCTTGACAGTGATTTCCAGTGAAGCCTTTGCCACATTCACAGAAGAAGGAGCCCACCTGGTCCCGACACGTGCCTCCATTTAGACAGGGCTGTGAGCGGCACTCGTTGATCTCTGTGAGGAAACATGGCCTTCAGAGTAAAGCAAGGGATGGTGGACAGAGCTTTGAATAAAATCAAGGCAATGGCAGAGATCAGCTGTATGTTGAAATATTTCCTAAAATTACATGCAATAACAAAATGCAGTTTAGCATCTCATCAGAAGTGCAGTAGCTCAACAATATAGGATAATATTTTAGATACATGAGACTGTACCAAGCCTGTTTGTCTGTTTTATGTCCTGTGGTTATGGCATGTGGTCATTGCACGTGTGGCAGTGGACAGACCTTCGCAGACCGGGGGCTGGCTCCAGTCTCCCTGCAGGCTGCAGATGCTCTGCGTAGCCCGGGGAACAGGCAGGAAGCCTGAGTGGCAGATGTATACAGCCATGGAGCCGGCGCTGGTTCTGGAGAAGTGGACCTCAGCATGCAGAACATGTGGAGGCTCTCCACAGCCCATATCTGAAGCACAACCACATGTTTTCACCACAGACGCTACATTAGTTCATCATTGTAAGATCTAGAATAATAGAATAAAAGTATCATGACGCTATGTAGAAGGAAAGATGATACAAATGTAAACCTTCCACCTTTAAATGATGTGGGATGTGTCAAATTCAATGCCACATGGTTCCAAATTACGGTATATGAGTTAATTTGTGTGATTTTTTCTGGACCAAGTTTGATGTTGAATAGTACATATTGATGTGGTATTTTTGTCATTGATTTTTCATAATTTTTAGTAGTTAAGTTATCACTGATACATTTCATTTAAAAACAAAACAAAAAAACAATCTCACCGGTGGAGACTTGTGTTCGGCTCATGTTGATCTCACAGTGCCTCCCAAAGAAGTCCTCTGAGCACTCGCACTTGTACTTCCCGATGTAATGAAAACACGTTCCTCCGTTTAGACACGGGCTGGAGGAGCAGGGGTCTGGTCTTCCTGAAGGACACAATACATTATGGACTGTAGGCATCCATTCACAAACGATTACTACAGTAGAGGAAGTAGAGGAGGGCAATATTCTTATAAGAATCAAAAATCAGTTCACTTTTCAGTAGATACTGTACCACATCTTGGCTGAGGTTCAGGTATCTTAAATGTAATATTTGCTGTTGTATTATTGGACAATTTCAAAAACACTGATCAGGTTGTTAAGAAAGCTTGTCAGCATCTATAATTTCTGCGGAAAAATTAGAGAATTCACTACAAACTCTACGATTCTGCTTAACTTTTATTGCTGCACCATTGAAAGTTTGCTTGTTGCTTCTGTGACTGTGTGGATCGGCGACATCACAGCCAAAGAAAGAAGAGCTCTAAACAAGGTGCTCTGCTCCGAAAGAGTACTGTGAGCTGTGAGACTAGAGAGAGACCAGAAAGAGACCAGAGCGAGACCAAACTAAAGAGAGACCAGAGAGAGACCAGAGAGAGACCAGAGAGAGACCAGAGAGAGACCAGAGAGAGACCAGAGAGAGACCAGCGAGAGAGAGAGACCAAACTAAAGAGAGACCAGATAGAGAGAAACCAGAGAGAGACCAGAGAGAGACCAGAGAGAGAGACCAAAATAAAGAGAGACCAGAGAGAAATGCTCCACTCTGAAAGACGACTGTGAGCTGTCTGTTCTGGGAGGCTATTTAAGATCTTTAGAATAATCAATAACTCTTCTGGCCCCTGGAAAAGCCATGTTCCAGCTTCATCTCTCAGGCAGCAGATATTTTTGGCTGAGATCATCTTTGATAAAGTCTGAACAAAGCACTTTAATGATCTTGCACTTGTATTGAAACCGTTTTTGTCGATTGATTTCACAGTTAGAAGTGTTTCTCGTACTTTTTAGCTTATTTTTTGTATGTACTTGTGTCTGGTGCACACTGGAGAACTTTTGCACATGTATCCCAATGTGGTTTTACGGCAAATGGCAAATATAATGAATCTGAAATCTTCAAAACAGTAATAATTAATGTATTATAGAGCCTTTATTGCCCACCTCTATTGAGTTTAATAAAAGACATTTAGAAGCCACTGACCGACTTCGCAGTGCTTGCCAGTGAAGCGATACGGACACACACAGTGGTACATGCCGTGCTCTTCTTTACAGGTGCCCCCGTTTCGACAAGGCAAAGCAGCGCAGGTATTCAGTCTGACTGGAAAGAAAAGAAAATCCAAGATATCGAATCACACTTCATACATTTCATCTCAAAGTCATAACTCCAGGAAGGAGCTCATAAGTTACTCTTAAGTACCTATTAGCATAAGCCATTTAGCTATGGAACATTTCAAGCAGCATTACAAGTTATGGCGTTCTTCCTGGTGCATAAAATTAATGGTAGGGGCAAGTCTGAAATAGTCCAATATAATTGGCCCGAAGGCATTATAGAGGTTGTATTGGGTTTCTTAAATATAATATTTCCAATGTAGTTTTTCAAGAATATTTTGTATTAATAAGGTAAAAGTCACAAGTGCAGTAAATGGCCCATGTTAAAAGCAAAGCTTGTTCAGCCCATGGCCTAAAAACTTACATCATTTTTGAAAGTAAGACTAATTACCAAAAACAAAACAAAACAAATCAAAAATTGGACAGTTACAGTAAAGGTGGGGTACCTAACTTTGTTCCTGTAGCTTGATAGAAAGAGTCTTGTAAAAGTGAAATGTTGTCTGTTGTCAACAGCTGTCTTCATCTTATTAGAATCTTTTATTTAGAATAATTGTAGGAAAGAGCCCTGTGAGTCATGATTTGACGCTTTGGGCTGAGGGCTGATTGGCTGAGGGAGGGTGGTACTCTCTTTATCACTTTTCTGTCTGAAAAAGTTGATCTAAAGATGTGACAGAGGCCAACAATACATGCATGCATATAAAAGTGATAGAAGCAGGAACTAGATGGATTTGATTACATAGTTCCGGTTCTTGTGGTTTGAAAGTTGGATACCCCGGCTTTACAGTGAGTACAAAAAGGAATTATGAACGGCACGGTGGCTGAGTGGATAGCACTCTCGCCTCTCAGCAAGAAGGTCCTGGGTTCGAATCCCGGCCGGACCAGGGCCTTTCTGAGTGGAGTTTGCATGTTCTCCCCGTGTCTGCGTAGGTTTCCTCCGGGTACTCCGGTTTTCCCTACCACTAAAAATATGTACAATAGGTCTGGCATGCGCCTCCTGTTCGGCGACCCCGCTCCCATCTCTGTGTGGAGTGAGAGGACAAATGCCCAAAAAATAACAATTGTAAACCGCTTTGTGACTCTGGTCTGTGAAAGGCGGTATATAAATAAAGCTTACTTACTTACAATCTAACAGCTATGGTTTTTAGTTTTTCTCTGAACAAACGTTGAGGTGCAGATGCATGGAGAAATGTATTAAACGTTAAAAGAGCATCACATCCTCAAGTTGCAGATACCAACTCTATTATTTGTGAGGTTTTTTGGTGCCTTGACTCTTGCTCTCTCTGATCTTTATCTTTGAGACCGGTGGCTCGAGATAAATTACCTTTCTGGCAGTGTTTCCCCCAGTATCCATGCTGGCACTCGCAGCTGTAGCCTCCGTCGCGCTCGTAGCAGTAGCCTCCGTTCAAACACGGAGACGAGTCACACACCGACTGGGGCTGTACTGGAAAAACACACAGACACTTGACTGTGTCCCAGGACCAAAACATGCTAAGCTGCATAAACAGCCGAGCCTGAAGGTACGCAAGATATGAATGAAGTCATATTAAGCTTAGCACAAAGTTACCAGGTATTTCAAACATGAGGCGGGAGATTAGGTGAGGTTGGACGCAAAAAAAATATTGAATGGTTATAGTTTAGTCTGTTTTATACATAGTCTTTCATGTTGTGTGCCTCTGTCTGCTTCATTCTCCTGTATTTATTTTGGATATCTTACATTATTATGAGTTATGACTTATTACTTACTATGACAATGATTATTATATATTATCATTATTACCTTATATTATATGTACCGTTTTTATTGATTTATGCGTATTGTGCAGCGCTTTGTAATGTCTGTTTTTCGAAAAGTGCTATACAAATACAGATTTATTATCACAATTTTTTATTATTGTTGTTTATGTTATAGTTAAAAGCATATGTATACAGTATGGCTTACTACCGGCAAAGTTCACAAATGTTTGGGTTTGAATGAGAAACAGTTGATGCACTGCTTACACAGCTCTTATTTTAAACCTTTTATTTCATCATTTTATTATGTGCCTACACATGTCTCCAACTATGTGTTTAAAACAATACATAAAATATTACTTTGCAGTTTGGAAAGGACGGAATGGAATAAAGCTATGATTTAAGCTTGGAAACTTTAGTTGTTTTTATCTCTGCACCATTTGCCATAATAATAAAACAACAGATCTAGTGTGAAGTATTATATTATTATTATATAGAGAAACTGTCTTCTCTAAAAATTTCCACAAAGGTGAAATTTATTGTCGCTACATACGTTACAGGAGAGTAGGGGAGACTCACACAAGAGAAATGAAACAAAAACATGAAATATAGCTGTAATATGCTTCATTGCTTCATTTTTTTTCATGCTTTTTATTATGCTAAAATTACAGTTTTTATTTTGTTTTATTTTTGTAGAGTTATTGCTCATTTATCTTGTGCTGAGTGCTCCTCAATACAGTTCTGCAACTGGTGATGCAACACTGACATTTCCCCACTGTGGGACGAATGAAGGATCTCTTAATCTTAATCTTAATTCAATCTCTGTTATTATCTCTGAGCATTCCTCAACAGAAAGTGACACCAGCTTTAAAAAATGCTTTGGTTGCTGTAAATAACCGATCACAGGTATCTGCAAAATGCCCTGTTGTTGTGTTGGTCGGGGTCCTTACCATAGGGGTAGTAGTCTTTGTGCTCTAGCTCTGGCCCGCTGGTCTGACATGTGCACAAGTAGGTCCCTCCGTACTCCAGACAGGGGCCGCCGTCGGGACAGGACCGGCTGTGACTGCACGGAGTATGGGTTACTTCTGAGAGGACATGATTGTGATTTTGATCAAAGGTGCATAGATATTTGAGAGGATACGTGACAGACTGACAGTAGATAATACCCACCAAACTGACAGTAGAGCCCGGTGTAGCCTGTGGGGCATTCACACGTCCCATTAGGGTCCATGCAGACGCCGCCGTTCTGACAAAGGCATTCTTCTGCGGGTAGAGAAGAGAAACACGGCCATAAACACAACATCATGAAGAGCAGTAGGTGTACACTCCAGTCGCAACACGCAAACATTGTGGTGTTGGTTTCATGATTTTTTTATCAAAGAATTGTGCTTAGTCATTTTACATCCGTGAAATATTAGTCCTGCTGGGACTATGAGGAGCACAGGGACTGGCCTCCTGCTGGTGCCTAGAGTCAGGACTAAACATGGAGAGGCAGCATTTAATTATTATGCAGCTAAAATCTGGAAACGGCTTAAAACAGTTTTGTTGTGCTGTGCAAAAACACTGAAGTTAGTATTTTAAAATGTATTATTTTGAATAAATGTTTTGTGATTATTTATGATTTTACTTTGAGTAAAATCTTTGAGTTTCTTTTGTATGAATTGTGCAATACAAATAATTGTCTTAATAAACATGGAAAACTGTACAAAAATGGGTGATTTTGGCCTCAGAACTTGATACAAACTTGTTTGAATGAACAAGTTTGGAATAAACTAAAATGATTTTGCCACAGACATTTTGGATTGAACAAGGTGTGTATTCTCAAACATACAAGTAGAAATCTATGCAAATACGCACTATGTTGGTGAAAGTGGCCCCTGTTCTTGATGTTCGATTTGGGGGTTGGTGGTAGGGAAAACATACACAGAACGTTTGCCCCTTCAGCATGGGCTCCAGATGCCGAGCGGCTTTCATCTACACTTCTGTAAACTCATATTGATTCACTGTCATTCCTCTCTCCTTCATCTCTCCCAACAAAGTTCACAAGAGCTGAAGATTACAAGTCAGCGCATTGTACATCCGCTGCGTGCAAAAGCTAAACATTTTTTTTTATTTTCCTATACCTAATTGCGCTAGTGGATCAAAGGATGCAGTTGTTCATCGCAAGTGAATTTCGTTTTGTTTGAAGTCCCAGAAAGCCCTGTGGAGGGTATCACTTTTCTAATAATAAAGAGCATATTTTGTGACCAGCACGAAAGACCTCGGGGGCAATAAATGCACTGTTAATTTGCCATAGCCACTTTTTCACTGGCCACCTGTGCAGGCCGGGGCTTTGATCTGGCCTGATTAGGAACTCCTGTGTCCAGCAACTTTCTTTTCCTCGGAGGATAGAGCTGTTTTTCCGCTGTGTTGTCCAAGTGAGCCAGGCAGGAAAATATTTGCGGGATTCAAGAGAGCTGCTATCAGCAGAAGTAAGCATTTCAGCTCAAGGGTGTAAGCAGAACACTTTTAGGAATTGCTTAAATCCTCTATGTGAAACTGTAATCATAAGGCTTACTCTTTACTCTAAGTATTTGAACCCGCATTTTGGACCTGTGTTGGCGTTTCAGCGTTTATTCGGTTGGGACAGTGCATGTTAATGGACACACCTCTCCGGATTGTAGCCTTGGGCTGATTTGCATCCGCGGTGTCCCACACTCCTCCTCACAGACACCCACTCAATCACCCTGAATTTTTTCATGTTTTTAGTGGTGTGGGAAACCGGAAAACCCGGAGGTGACACAGGGAGAACATGCAAACTCCACACAGAAAGGCCTGGGGGTGGAATCGAACCCAGGACCATCTTGCTGTGAAGCACAAGCTCCACCATGGTGCCTAATGGACAACGGCAGAGGAATTCACCTGGAGACTTGAGGAAATAGAAGGAGCCTTTTGAGTTGAATCGATCTGAACTATGACATAGTTCATTTTCAACATATTTCTTCACAAGGACAACATCATTAAGGCAACAGCCCAAACTCTTATGCGGCTTCATGCGGCTATACAAGTCTTTAAGCAAAGTCAAGATATTTGAAAGGAACAGGTGCTAGATTTTGTTTTTCTCAAGTTTTTAGTCAGTGTGAAAATGCCTATTAGGTCGACAAGAAGAGTAAACATTTCTTTATTTGCATTAAAAATTTTATTACTTAGTATTCCCTCTTGTCTCATAGCTGCTAACGGAGCTCTAAATGGCTTAGCTTTAAGGAGCTAAGCCATTCTGACATGCAGGTATGGCCACATGTCAAAATTAGTCCTCTATTCTAACATCTAATATAATAGTAGTATAGTATATAGAGTATTTTAGGAATGTGGGTTGAGGTTTGATAACATGACATGCCCCATATTTGTGAACAAATTGTGAAATAATTATGCAAGCAGCAGCTGTGTTTGAAAATGTAGTTCCACGGCCAAGTAAGCAGCGGTGAGGAGGGCGCGTGTTTCAGCACAAAATAGCCTGAATACCATAAACAGGCTTTGACTCATAAACGGCTACTTAAGTCTAGACAAAGAATTTCCTCTTTGTTGGTAAACTAGTAAAATGCGCTAATAAAGCAATTATTTGCAACATCAAGCGGCTGCTGCTCCAGGTTGCAGTAGTAAAGTGGGTGAGGCCGTGTCAGTGTTGATAATTACAATAATCCATTGTCACAGCAGCTCCTTCCAGGCTAAATTCCTGTGGCATAACACGGCTCCTCTCCACATACCCGAGTCTGCCCGCTACCTGCCGCTCTGCACCAGAAACAGCCCCAAAAAGGACTGCAGTGCTTGCTCTGAATGCGGACTATAGAGTTTGTTAGTTAGATAGTATTATTATTTCTATTATTAACTTAGATCCCCGTTTGCTATTGAAATATACAGTAGCTATTGTTTGTGGGGTTTGTATACTGAATAAGTCACGATGAATATGAAAATGGGGCGACAGTAGCTCAGTTGGTAGAGCATCGGCCTTAAGGCCAGAAGGTCGTGGGTTCAATTCCCACCTCTGCACCTTCTCCACCGACTCCCACTGATGACTGCTGTCGTTGTGTCCTTGGGCAAGACACTTAACCCCACTTTGCCCAAAGCCCCCACTGAAAGATCAAGGCTATGCTCACACTCAGAGAGCAGCCGTCCTCCTGTGGACCCACCACCTGCAGAGGGTCAGTGAGGGGCTGGTGCTATGAGACTTGGGTGGCATCTCTGATTGCCACCCCCCTGATGGATTAAAGGGTAGAAAATGGATGGATGGATGGAATATGAAAATGGACAAAGCCGGGTATACAAACGCAAAACATGATAACATAGAAACCCATACATAGGTGAAACACTTAGAATGTTGTTCAAAAGTTTTTCATTTCTTTCTGTAATTCAACTAAAAATATGAAACCAATATTATATAAAGAGTCATTACATGAAAAGCGAGAAACATGTAACACACACACACACGCACGCACACGCACACACACACACGCACACACAGTACTTGTTATTACCTGTTTGGTTATTTGCTTCGGTCGAGTTCACCTCAAGCACTACTTGTTCTGTAAGAAACGTTTTAAACCAAATGGGACCACAAACCATCGAGTAAAGGGTTAGATTGTCAGAAAGAAGAGTGCGCACCAGTCTCACAAAAGGCTCCAGTGAAGTTTGCAGGACAAACGCAAGTAAAGTTGTACACGTGGTCTATGCACTGGGCTCCATTCAGACAGGGCTGTGACTCGCAATCGTCTATGTCTGTAAGAAACACAAACGTCCAGAGAAAAGGTCAGAAGAGAGGTTAGCTGACCCTCCAGGTGCCTGAATGTGCTGGATTAAAACACGATGAGCTTTCCTTCAGAGAGGATTGAGTTTCAGTGACCAGGTGTGCCGTATTACGACTAATCCGGCCTCATGTACGAACACGGATTCAAGGCCTGATCAGTTCATTCCTCTGGGAGTCTTGGGTTTCATTAATAACTCCATAAGAAGCTGGATAAAAGATGAGGTCTTGGAAATATAACACCAAGCAACTCACTGCGGTTTTTCTATTATTTGACCCATGGACATTGTATGTGTCACTCAGTTCAACTATAAACTTATTGTATCCAAGAATTGTCTTAGAAATAATTCTTTAATCATTTTACATCAACTTTATTAGTTCATTTCTGGTTGGGGGCAATCCAAGCTACCATCTCATTGCACCAGCTCCTTGAGAAATAATTCACATTAAATTAATAAATATGTCATTAATTTGAGTTGACAATTTGCCAAATATATTTTGGCTCCAGCTCTCATGAATGCATACACTTACATACTTTTTATTTTCACAAACACACACATTTCAAACTGTATATAAACTGTATTTTATCTGTGTGTCATACATAAGTTTCACATTGTAAGCTGAATTACAGAAGTACATGGACTTTAGAACGATATTTTAATTTTCCAAGTTTCACCTGTATATACTGTATGTCCTCACTAAAGATGAGATCAGCAAAATGTTATATATGGATGCTGAAAAATAATACTCAATCGTACTAACCATTCTCACACAGGAGCCCAGTGTATCCAGGTTCACAGACACAGTTAAAGTTTCCCAGTCCTTGGACACACAGTGCGTTGTTGAAACAAGGTTTGTCTTTGCACTCATCGATGTCTGAAACACAAAGTGAATCTCATCATTCTTTTAGAATCAAGGTCCAGATCGACACAGACAATAAAAAAAATTAATAACATAGCTATTCAAAAAGAAAATAATTCATATGCAAGCGAACAATTATTATCTCAATTTTGAAACGTACGAATCATTTACTGAAAATGAAACTGAGCAAATATTACAAAAAATATTGTCAAATTAATTTAGGTTTGATTTAAGAATGACATAAATCAAAATAAAATGTGTACAAGTTAAAGCACTAGTTAAAGCACTAGTTAAACAATTTCACAAATAACAGTGTGTTGCCTGAGTGGGTGCTCCGGTTCCATCACCACCCAAAACATGCAACATGAATGTAGTGAATGAATGAGGGTGGTGGTCAGAGGGGCCGATGGCACAAACCGGCTTGCATCACTGTCCAAAAATGAACAACAACACATATCTCATATACAGTGTCTTGTGAAAGTATTCGGCCCCCTTGAACCTTTCAACATTTCGCCACATTTCAGGCTTCAAACATAAAGATATAAAATTTAAATTTTTTGTCATGAATCAACAACAAGTTGGACACAATCGTGAAGTGGAACGAAATGTATTGGATAATTTAAACTTTTTTAACAAATAAAAAACTTAAAAGTGGGGCGTGCAATTATATTCGGCCCCTTTACTTTCAGTGCAGCAAACTCAGTCCAGAAGTTCAGTGAGGATCTTTGAATGATCCAATGTTGTCCTAAATGACTGATGATGATAAATAGAATGCACCTGTGTGTAGTCAAGTCTCCGTATAAATGCACCTGCTCTTTGATAGTCTCAGGGTTCTGTTTAAAGCGCAGAGAGAACCATGAAGACAAAGGAACACACCAGGTAGGTCCGAGATACTGTTTTGGCAAAGTTTAAAGCCGGATTTGGATACAAAAAGATTTCCCAAGCTTTAAACATCTCAAGGAGCACTGTGCAAGCAGTTATATTGAAATAGAAGGAGTATCAGACCACTGCAAATCTACCAAGACCCGGCCGTCCCTCCAAACTTTCATCTCAAACAAGGAGAAGACTGATCAGAGATGCAGCCAAGTCGCCCATGATCACTCCGGATGAACTGCAGATAACTACAGCTGAGGTGGGAGAGTCTGTCCATAGGACAACAGTCGTGCACTGCACAAATCTGGCCTTTATGGAAGAGTGGCAAGAAGAAAGCCATTTCTCAAAGATATCCATAAAAAGTCTCGTTTAAAGTTTGCCACAAGCCACCTGGGAGACACAGCAAACATGTGGAAGAAGGTGCTCTGGTCAGATGAAACCAAAATCAAACTTTTTGGCCACAATGCAAAACGATATGTTTGGCGTAAAAGCAACACTGCTCATCACCCTGAACACACCATCCCCACTGTCAAACATGGTGGTGGCAGCATCATGGTTTGGGCCTGCTTTTCTTCAGCAGGGACAGGGAAGATGGCTAAAATTGATGGGAAGATGGATGGAGCCAAATACAGAACCATTCTGGAAGAAAACCTGTTGGAGTCTGCAAAAGACATGAGACTGGGACGGAGATTTATCTTCCAACAGGACAATGATCCAAAACATAAAGCCAAATCTACAATGGAATGGTTCACAAATAGACGTATCCAGGTGTTAGAATGGCCAAGTCAAAGTCCAGACCTGAATCCAATTGAGTATCTGTGGAAAGAGCTGAAGAGTGCTGTTCACAAACGTTCTCCATCCAACCTCACTCAGCTCGAGCTGTTTTGCAAGGAAGAATGGGAAAGAATCCCAGTCTCTTGATGTGCAAAACTGATAGAGACATACCCCAAGCGACTTGCAGCTGTATTTGCAGCAAAAGGTGGCGCTACAAAGTGTTAGCGCAAGGGGGTCGAATAATATTGCACGCCCCAATTTTCAGTTTTTTATTTGTTAAAAAAGTTTAAATTATCCAATAAATTTTATACCACTTCACGATTGTGTCCCACTTGTTGTTGATTCTTGACAAAAAATTAAATATTTATATCGTTATGTTTGAAGCCTGAAATGTGGCGAAATGTTGAAAGGTTCAAGGGCGCCGAATACTTTCGCAAGGCACTGTAGCTGCTTCAATGGATAAAAAAAGTCTATTTAATTGGAAAAAGAAACCAGCTTCCACTGTATTTCTATATGAACACTTCTGAGGTGCCAAAGAGTTTGTGATAGAGTTGAAACTAGACAAGCTTAACTACAGTGTGCTCTTACTGTTTATAAATCACAATGTTGGAGCCATTTATCTAATGCATGTATTCTTTGCCTCCTGCCCGCCACCCCACTTTGCCTGCGGTATATAAGGTGCTGCAGGTGTTTCAGTGTAGAGGCATCCTCATAGTTTCATGGGAGGCATATATCTTTTGACCATTGTCATTCACCTTGGTTTAAGGAGTGAGATCCCCATTATTTGGATGGCTGTATATGCCAATAAATATTTGTAGAACGCAGTATTTTACATTGTTTGATGGTGAGGGACACAATGTCCAAGAACGTTTGGAAGCTATAAACATACTTATACCAAGAGACTTACCAGAAAATTACCAAGTAAATGGCAACAAGCAAGTGGCAGTGTTGTGCAATGTACCTTTAAATAAACGTGTTTTGTGTTATATTTACCAAATTCACAGCGGACTCCTGTGTATCCTGGTGGACACTGACAGACAAAACTGTTAATCTGGTCTTCACACGTGCCTCCGTTTTGGCACGGGCTGGAGGCACACTCGTTGACATCTATAACAGAAAAGCCCAGATAATGCCTTTCTAATTAATAAACATCTGACCAGATCGAATGGTCAAGACAGAAACAAAGATGCAACTGATACTCTGCAGCTACGCAAAGGCTTAAGTCCGTCTCAATGTGTCCCTCTGGCAAGTGGCAACACACACGAAACGGTTGTTTTTGCAAGCTGACCATATTTTTCCAGGCTAATCCCTTTTGAAACATTAGCATCCATTCACAGTGTTCAGTTAAACCGAGCAGGAAGTAGCCTTAGCCATAACTCACCAATCTGGCACTTTCGGCCTGTGAATCCGGCCAGACAGGAGCAGGTGAAGGAGGGGTTTCCTGTGATGCAGTCATCGATGCACTGACCACCATTCAAACACGGACGCAGGTGTGGGCAAACAGAGGCTGTGGAAAAATGACAGAGTTTAGGGAAATCCGTCAGCATCAAAAGCCCACTGACTTGTGTTTAGAAGAGATATTTCTTCATGGTTTTCGTAAATATTCAGACCTCAGCCTTTGAATCATTGTTGCAAAGGGTGGAAAGGTATAAATTGAAGAATGATATTCTACATCTTTTTGATTTTTTGTAAAGATCATATTGATCTTGGACTTGAGTACAAATGTCGCCATGAAATTACAAATACATCTCAGTAGAACAGCTCTGATAAGAGATGCAATGGTATTCTATTTTTAATCTTTCCATACGGTCTCATCGATTTGATATGCATAAATGTTCATTATAAATCAAATAAATGAATATTTATGATAATCTGATCTAATCTGTAAATAATAAATATTGCAATCAAGTGCAATGTGCAATACTGCAATTTCAGAATGTCCAATAAAAGTCACATCTACAGCCAGTGCCAGATATGTATATAACTTTACACTATATAGTGGGGCAAAAAATGTAGTCAGCCACCAATTGTGCAAGTTCTCCCACTTATAAAGATGAAGGAGGCCTTTAATTTTTATCCTAGGTAAATCTCAACTATGGGAGACAGAATGAGAAAAGAAAATCCAGAAAATCACATTGTTTAATTTTTAAAGAATGTATTTGTTTATTTGCAATTTATGGTGGAAAAAAAAGTATTCGGTCAACAACAAAAGTTCATCTCAATGCTTTCTGTAAGTTATCACAAGGTTATCACACACTGTTGCTGGTATTTTGGCTCATTCCTCTATGCAGATCACCTCTAGAGCGGTGATGTTTTGTGCCTGTTGTTGAGCAACACGGACTTTCAACTCCCTCCAAAGATTGTCTATGGCAGGGGTGCCCAAAGTGGGGCCCAAAGTGGGGCCCGCGGGCCAGACCATTTCAGTTAGCCCGCCGAAAATTTTCTACTTCTATAGAAGGTTTCTATCTGCGACCCTCAGACTGGCTGGAGACACAAACATATGCCTTGAATTACGCGGGCACGTCTACGTCGCTCCAATCGTCACTTAACTGTCGTATTGAGATACACTCCTCACTCATGGTTCACATCAACTTGCACAAAAATGTTTTTTTAAATCAAACACACTTATCAAAACAATTGGGTGCAAGGCACCTTTATGTTAATTTTATTTCAGCCTACTATTGATTTTTTTTGAGCAATTTTATGTTTTATCAATTTGGAAGGATCTCTTATATTTAACAGACTTTACTCGTGTTTTCTTGAGTCTCAGTTAATCATTTGTGACGTGATGTGATGTACCTACTTTAAGTAGTATTCTAATGTCAAATGTTTGGTTTTGCTGCTAATTTATTGTTCAAAGTTCAATCTATTGCTAGCTTATTATTAGCTACTTCTATTGTGCATCTGACAATCTGCGCTGCGTCTTGTGACCAAAATTAAAGGGCATGTCTGTAACTTTTTAGGAGCAACCAATTAAGTGCTGTATTTTTTTAATATTGAATTATAGACCCAATTTATAGCTGTTATACGATTATAAATATTTGATTATAACCTGTAAATAAGCTACAACAGAAATCTCCCTCCTCTGGACCCTGATTCTCTGACCGGAATCTTTCTGTACTGTAGTCTCCTAAAACCAGCATATTTCCCTGGAGCCTCCACTTCACTGAGAGTGTGTTGTTTTCCTTAATTCAGCTGTGATTTGCACTGATAGACAATAATAAATGCATTTTATCATTCAACAAAAATTAAAGGAACTTGATCAAATTTACATTTATTTGTGTTTCACGCATAATATCGGTGTATTTGGCCCACGGCCCACTGGCAATTTTTTACTTTGGCCCTTGGAGGCAAAAGGTTTGGGCACCCCTGGTCCATGGGGTTGAGATCTGGAGGCTGGCTAGGCCACTCCAGGACCATGAAATGCTTCTTACATATCCACTCCTTTGTTGCCCGGGAGGTGTGTTTGGGATCATTGTCATGCTGAAAGACCCAGCCACGTTTCATCTTCAATGCCCTTGCTGATGGAAGGAGGTTTTCATTCAAAATCTCATGATACATGGCCCCATTTATTCTTTCCTTTACACGGATCAGCCGTCGTAGTCCCTTTGCAGAAAAACAGCCCCAAAGCATGATGTTTCCACCCCCGTGCTTCACAGTAGGTATGGTGTTCTTTTGGATGCAAAATATATATATTGTACTGTAATATAATATTGTAAAGTCTAAAAACTTCTGCTCACCAGAGTGGTTGCAGCTGCCAACTTCCACGTTTGCGTCGTCAATCCGAAACACCCATCTGCCGGGGAAACCTACATTAGTGGTGCCTTCTACGTTCACAATGTCAGCTGTTCGAGAACCAGGGATGTTGAAGTAGCGCTTTCCATCCCCGGCGTTAAAACCTGCCTAGGGAAAAAGCAGCACAATGACAGACCAGATCATCAGAACCTTTTATTACAAACATAGTTCACAAACTAGGAATTTCTTTGGCATTAACATAAACCGTGAGAAGTATAAAATATAATGATTATAATGATACCTTATACAAACATACAACACTATATTCAAGACTAGTATTGCAAGTTGTTAAAGTGACACAAGTTTAAAACTAATCAAACAAATCATGCAATGGATTTGCGGATTACTTTACAGATAAAATCCTGAAAATAAGGCAATCTGTAAATACCAGTCCCCCCTGTGTACCCACCTTACCTGTGCCGTTATAAAAAGAGTTTTAAATATTTTAATTGTTTAAATAATACAACTTTGAAATACATTGAAATTGTTAAAATCTACTTCTTCCTGTCTAGATGGACAGGAAGATGTAGATTTCCTTTCCATCAAGACAGGAAATCTGTACAGATTTTTTATTTTTTATTTGTGACTGCATTTTATCAAATATATTACGGATTGTGATAAATTCTCTACAATCTGGACAGTTTCTTTAGGCTTTTAAAATTGCCGATGTAAAACCCTTCATAAGAAACCCACCGACTTGCTAATAATAAGTAATTATTATAGCCATTTCTAATCTTCCTTTCTTGGGAAGATTTTAGAAAAAGCTGTATATCAGCAAATATATACTTCTATGATGCAGAACAATTTTTTAAATGAATTTCTGAATTTTGTCAAGCTCACTCAACCAACACAATTAAAGTCTTAAATGACATACACCTTAATAATGATGCATCTAGAATAACAGTTAACTAACATGCTGGTAATGTTAGATCTTAGCACCGCATTTAACACGGTTGAGATACTTCAAGAGTAAATTTTCTACTTAAAAGATAGGGAAGCTACCGGCAGCTATGAGTCTGCAGAAACAAAGATAACATCCGGGGTCCCACAGGGGTCCATACTGGGCCTACTTACTTTTGTTTAATATCTACATTTATGTGCACAGTGTATCTGTTCTGTTCCACTCTGGAGGCAGTTTCTCAATGGTGTTTCACATCCCTGAAACACCATTGAGAACACAACTTCATACACCAAAGGCCAATCCGATACCTAACTCTAAAGACCTTTGCATACTTGCGCATCGCTGCGCATGTGGTGGCTCTTATGACGTCACCTGATGTCACATAACCAACGCAAGGATCCCCGCAAGACCTCAAGGACCCCTTGTGCTACCACCCGTGCACCCTCGGATTTTTCTAACTACACAGAGCAGAGAAGACTCACTGTGATTGGCCTGTGTGATTACGCTTTGTTTGGAAGCATGGAACGGCTGCAGAGAACATGGACGAGGCACTTTGGAGCAGATCGATTCGAAGGGGGTCAAAGGAAAAGCAGTTTGGGCTCATGGATCCAGAGCCTGATATACGGGGCTCATGGCTCTTAGCCTGATATACGAGGAGGCTGTGGACTAGAGTTTTGTTGCATATCGAACATTTATATACTGTGCAGTCGTTTTTTCTTTGTTTGAATTTGCACTTGTACTGAGTCATTGTGTCTTGCAAATAGTTTGGGCTCAGATATTTATCACTTATTGTTTTGCTATTCATTATTATTATTATTTATTATTATTATATGGTTATTCAATAATAACCATCTTTTTCCAACACATGTTTTTATTCACAGCCTCACAGTTGAAATTAGTTAGTGAATGAAACAATGAGTCTATAGTACTGTCACATAAACGTACGCCTAGAATACAGATTTAATGAGATTCGGATCAATCTTAAACAGCTAAGTTCGCCATTGTTTTTGTTCTGAAGAGGAGAAAGTAGCTAGCGGGACATTATAATGTGACCCCTTTGGTGTCCCAGGCAATTCCTGCCAGGGTGCCAGCATGTGGTTGGAGTTGTGGGATTACAACAATCTCTTCAAAACTAAGCACGGGGGTACGCTCACATATACGACCAACTGTGGCTGCGAAATCAACAACTATTCCAGCGCAAATGCCAGCACACACAGTGACGCCCACAGGCCATAACATTTTACTGTCGCAGCGTCCTTGTGTAAACGCCACATTAGATGAACATTAAATTTCACACTAGAAATAATCAAGACAAATGAGTGACTATTCTGTGCTTTTACCTGTGCTGCAATGCCCCCCAGTCCTGCCCGGTTTCCTCCACTTGTAGCATGCATGCCTGTCGTCCACGTAATGTTGTGATACTGGAATATAGTGAAGGAAAGCTCTCCATCTGTAATGAGCACCACCTGGAATGTATTGATCTACAAAAAGCAAAATCAAAACTCAAAGTCAAATAATTTGCGACTGATCTCCTACGAGCTTTTAAAGAATAGCGCAACAAATCCACTACCGGTGTTTTTGAGTTGCCTCCAAAGAACGTGACCTTATGCCATGTGGAGATCAGGACCCATGAAGCGTTGAAGCTTGGAAACTCTGAAAAGTAAGTCCTGACGTCATTAGAAGCTCTCTTCAGGATGCCCGCCTCCACGCTCTCTCTGTAGAACACTCTTCCAGCGCGACGATTATCCACGTCGGCCCAAAACGCGGCCACGACTCTCCGGTCTCCAGCAATGGGAAAAGCAACAGGCGTGAACTGAGAAACCTCCCTCAGGAAAGACACCAGGCCGTTGTTATTGACCTGAAAAGAAAACAAAATCTAGTCGTTAATAAATTGTATGTTTTATTAGCATATTAATAAATGTGTGTAAGTCTAGACATGATGATAGTTAACCAACTTGTGTGTGTCATCAGCATTCAATTGCTAAAGACTGCTGACCACTTCCCTCAGCTCATAAGATTTAATGTGACTCTGGCAGAACAATATTTTAGACAGAGGCCTGTCATGGGAGTTGCATAAGACTGCACATTTAGGTTCTGTGAATGTATGTTTTGTTTAAGTGTGTGCCTTGTGACCAACCGAAGAGGCGTCTGATACTTAAGCAAGCAGTGTTGCTTGGTTCATTGTCAATCTGCTATTCCATCTAGCAAGACCCGGACTAACCTTAGTCTGTAATCTGTCTACATGTGTGCTGATGTCGAGGCAACTGTAGTTTGAACCAGCATTGACAACATTTATTAAAGAGATTATGTTGTTGAAATGTGACTAGTTTTGTCACACTAGTCAAATAAATGAAAATTATAAAATATTTCCCCAGAATTAATACATGCACTATATTTGTACAGTATACAATAGTACCCTAGTGTTTCTTAAAGCATTTTGTTGTTATCTTTCTGATAGAGCTACAGTAAATATTTAAATTGAGTCAACCAACTGCCTACAAAATAAAAACATCTTTATTTGAATATTTACATGTAAAGACGACAGTAAAAAAAAAATCTACATGCTATTGGTACACACAAAACTAAATCATATCTGCATTCAAGCAGATTCTAAATAATGGATCACAGCCTGCAGGTGAAAGTCAGATCCCATTCGACCTCTGAAGCAGGGCAGGGTTAGTAGTGCGATGGGAGACCTCTGAGATCATGTCACATACTGGTTGCCTTGATTCTGTCAGTCTGCCCCAGAGCAACTGTGGCTGTAGTAGCTAACCACCATCGTGTACATAGTAAAAGACTAATGCTATGCGGCTTTGGATGTCATGCAAAGTGTTTCATAAGTAGTATGCATTTTTAATCCCAAGTCGAAAGTCATTTGCATCATACAATAAATTTGCAATGTGTCTGGTATCGCCAATTAGAACTCAGTGAGGGACAGGAGGTCCCAAGAAAAAAATATCAAAATATGGCTCAGTAGCGGCAACTCAAAAAGTGAAAGATTCTACAGTGGCAACAAATGCACATTGTTGTCGGCTAAATGGAGTGAAATACACTACTTGATGGATGAGGGATAGAACAGATGGGGTGTATTATGGAGTTACAAGTTAGGATGAGGGACTTCAACTACACCACGTGCGGTTTCAATATATATATATATATATCTTAGGGCTGTCAAATGATAACACATTTTGTGAAATACAGTATGTACTGTATTTCTTTATTATAACAACAATAAATCCACATAAAATGGTATTAACATTAGTAACATTCTGTTTTTCTGTAATACTCACACCAAAACTATAGTTTGTTACAGATGAGGGAGATTTCAAAACAGTCTGAAATGCAGAATGTCATTAAATCTGTTTGATTTGCTCACACCATTATTTTTTGGGCACAACCAACATGAACTGGTAGTACAAGGGAAAATTAGGTACCCCAGCTTTAATTTAGCGGAGGCTAAAGAGACTGAGGCTCCATAGTTCAGCTTCAGCGCTATATTTATTGTGTGCACCGGTTACGCAAAGACACGCACACAACAAGCAGAGAATAGTTCTGTGCGTGGTCTTGGACATGACGTTACAGCGCAGAACCCTCAAGCTCCCAGGACCCAGGCTTGGAGTTGGATAACCACCCGCGAAGGGCGAAAGGTGAGATTTTATTTTTATTTTGGAAAGGCTTGGGCTTCAACACGTCCAGCTTGAAGACCAAGGATAAAATTGACAGCATGTATTCTAACAGACTGTTTTATTTGTTTTATTTCTGTCTTTTAATTGTTTTATGTCTGTATTTGTCTGTGCACACTGGAGACTTTTTGCTAATGTATTCCAATGTGGTGTTTTTACTGCAAATGGCAAATAAACTGAATCTGAAAGTAGGAGTAGTAGACTGTGACATAAAAAGTGGAGAAAGTGGTGAAATGGACTGGCAAAGTGTGCAGTGAGGTATTGGTTCCCATAACGGATGTTTTCACTTCCAGTGTTACAAAGAGCCGTGACTTTTATTCGTAAAAATGAGAAAACCTTGCTTGTGCGGAGCTTCACGGACCTTTAAATCCACACATGTGAAAAGGCGCCTCCCTCAAACGCCCACATGAAGCTCTGTGGGAAATGCACTGTTAGCACAAGAGCACAGAAACAGCCTCCAGTATGATAAAGATACAGAATTTTAGCCACATTTTCATTGTAGAACAGTTGGAATTATGTATTTTTCTTATTATTAATAATTTAAGATTTACTTGATAAACCCTTATAAGATATCCTTGTAAACCCTCAAGATATTGATTGGGAGGGTAATCGGAGCAGCCACAGGAAGAACATACAAACTCCACATAAAAAGGCACCGTCTGGAGGTGGAATCTAACCCAGGGGATACTTACTGTGAAGCCCAAGCACTAGCTGCTGCACCACTGTGCTGATTTGATCATAGTTTTAGTGTAGTAATTTAAAATGATCTGCACAAAAAGACAAAGCTAATAAACAGGATGTAACAAGTAAACTAGAATACACCGTTAGATAAGCGGTTGGACAAAGCAGATACTTATTTGGTTCCGGCCTCTCACACACAAAACTCACACCCTACACCTATTAGTGCCTAAACGAGAGAATGGATGTGTTCAAAATGTGCATACATCCAGATATCATGTACAGATATACAGTGAGCAGTGATATTATGTGAATGAGGCCAAAATAAGTTGTGCTAGTGAAAATGTGCTGGCTGTTCCTACACCCGTGAGGAACTTATGAACATCCGACCCACCGTTCCCATGGACCTATTGCCTGTTTTCTTGGCATCTGCGGCTGATTTAGTTCATGTTCTAGCCAAAAAAGTGTGGGCCCGTAAAAGGGGAAAGCGCGGAGGCCTGCTCGTGCGTCTTAGGAGGAGAGGAGCGCGCACGGCTCTCCCCGGCATTTTTCTCTCCAACGTACGCTCACTGGGCAATAAGATGGACGAACTCAGCCTGCTCATGAGAAGAAACAAGGACTTCGCCACATCCTGTGTCCTCTGCTTCACTGAGACCTGGCTAAATGAGCGGATCCCGGACTGCGCTCTGGAGCTGCAGGGCTTTGGGCTGTTCCGCGCGGATCGCCATTGTGCGCTCTCAGGGAAGAGCAGAGGCGGTGGGCTGTGTTTCTACGTCAATACAAACTGGTGTAACGATGTGACAGTGATCTCCAAGCACTGCTCTCCTGCTCTGGAATATCTTTTCATTCATTGTAAACCATATTACTCCCCGCGCGAAATTGTTTCATTCATTCTTGCCTCTGTTTACATACCGCCATGCGCGGACGCGCGCGAGGCTCAGCGCGCACTCGCAGAGCAAGTACTGTGTATGGAACGCTTATACCCGGACTCTCTGATTATTATCCTGGGGGATTTTAATAAGGGAAACTTGAGCCAGGAATTACCCAAATACAGACAGTTTATCAAATGCCCGACCAGAGAGGAGAACACTCTGGATCACTGTTAGTGCGCGGAGCTTTTCGCCCTGTTCCCAAGCCAATCCTCGGCTTCTCAGATCACTCCATGATACATCTGGTTCCTGCTTACAGACAGAGACTAAAGCTCTCGAAACCTGCAATGAGGAGCTCCAAAGTGTGGTCTGATGAAGCTGTGGAAGAGCTGCGCGCATGCATGGAATCTACAGACTGGGACCTTTTCAGAGCTGCCACAGATAGTTTGGATGAATATACGGACACTGTGACGTCATACATTCACTTCTGTGAGGATAGCATCATTCCAACAAGGACCAGGGTCATCTATAACAACGACAAACCCTGGTTCACTGCTAAACTCCGGCAGCTCAGGAAAGCAAAGGAGTCTGCTTTCAGGGAGGGGGACCGCAGCGGCTACAAAGCAGCTAAATATCAGTTCAGGAGAGAACTGAAAGCAGCCAAGTCCCGGCACAGAGAACGACTACAGGAGCAGTTTGGTAACAACGATACTGCTTCTGTCTGGAGGGGCCTACGGGAGATCACCAACTACAAACCCAAAGCCCCCCCCTGTGCTGACGACCACAAGCCAGCTGACGATCTGAACTTTTTTTTCAGTCGCTTTGATGCTGCCCCTGTCACCTCTCCCTCCCCCACCCCCCACTACTCTAACGACCCACCCATCAGCCCTGCCCCTAGCCTAACAATAGCCGCTAAAGAGATTAAACAACTCTTCCTGAGGCTGCACCCCCGCAAAGCTCCTGGCCCGGACCACGTGTCTCCGGCCACTCTGAGACACTGCGCCAGTGAGCTTACTCCTGTGTTCACGGACATTTTCAACACCTCTCTGCAGTCCTGCCATGTCCCGGCCTGCTTCAAATCTTCCATCATTGTCCCCGTCCCGAAGAAGCCCAGGATCACAGGACTCAATGACTACAGACCTGTAGCACTTACGTCTGTCGTCATGAAGTCATTTGAACGCCTGGTTCTCCCCCATCTCAAGTCCCTCACCTCCCCCCTCCTGGACCCCCTGCAGTTCGCCTACAGAGCCAACAGATCTGTAGACGACGCCATTAACCTGGCCCTCCACCACATCCTACAGCACCTGGACTCCCCGGGGACCTACGCCAGGGTCCTGTTCGTGGACTTCAGCTCTGCCTTCAACACAATCCTGCCATCCCTGCTCCAGGACAGGCTCTCCCAGCTCAACGTGCCCGATTCCACCTGCAGGTGGATCACTGACTTCCTGACGGACAGGAAGCAGCGAGTGCGTCTGGGGAAGAATGTCTCGGACTCTCGGATTATAAATACAGGAGCCCCACAGGGCTGTGTTCTTTCTCCCCTGCTCTTCTCCCTGTACACCAACCACTGCACCTCCAGCCACGACTCCGTGAAGCTGATCAAGTTCGCGGACGACACCACCCTCATT